CAGGTGGAGTATAAGTAATGATCAGCAATTCCAGATGAAATGGCTTTCACTTGCCTTTGTTCATGGGATCCTGAAGAGAAAAATAAATAGTTATAATTTGATCAAATAATCAGAGATTCCTGAAGTGAATAAGTGAAATAGGTACTTGGATGAATATAAAGACCATGGAGGTACTTGAAAATTGTCCATGAGAAGCAAAAATGAAGGTCTGGTGATGTTATCATCTCAGAGCCTTTTTTTACAGAACGAGATTCCTTTATCAAAGAGAAGAGGGTGTCCTCTTGAAGACGTGAGGGAGGGAAATTATTCTAGCCTATTGCCCCCGTGTTTTCAAAGCTCTCCTGGTTACCAAAGCTTGTTTAGAGATGCCTCCTCCCCTGTCAGGCTGCTGACCGTCTTCCAGTGAGGCTCCTCTGGGGCTCCCACCAGCAAGGCTCCTCTTGGGCTCCCAGCTGCCCCTCCTGCCATCAGTGTCCTCTCATGGGACAGCGTTGCTGCTACAGTGGGTCACCTGAGGCAAGGTGGCTCATGTGCAAAGGTGCACCAGCAGAAAGGAGCTACAGAAACGGATCCAAGCTGGAGGGTATAAGGAAGGGCAGGACCAAACACAGCAGCGGGAGGGTCCTGCTGTGCTGGGTCCTGCTGGGTCCTGCCTCCCGCTGCTCCACGTGCCCGGAGCTGATTTGCCAAGGGCCCACATCAGCAGGTACAAGGACCTGCCTGTCACCTACCACCGCAGGAGAAAGTGGGAGAGAGGCTGAAGAGCCACATGCGAGTGGGACATGTCCCCTGTGCAGAGAAGTAACTCCCCAAGGGCCACGTTTGTAGTACAGTATTGCCAAGCTGTTCCTGCTGGCAGAGCTGTCCCCGTGAAAAGTGTGAAGTGCTGTCAACTCAATATGACTTTTAGGCAAAATCTCTTAATTAAGACATGGTTCTATAACCACTTCATGGATAATCTCACACAGAGACATGGGATGCTGGAATAACCTGGACTAGTTAAAGCACAGTTTGGCCAAATAAACACCTCTTGCACATTTATGCTGTCCTGACAAGGTACTTGTTTCAGACTTCATATTAGGCTGCACCGATGGCCTCTTTTGACCTTCTCTTTCTTTAATGTGTGAAACAAAATACTTTGGGGCTCAGAGGTAGAGAGTTGGTGGGAGAGGTTTGGTCTGATTTTATCTCTGCACATTGTAATTGTGTAAATGATCATTTCATTGCCGTGACTGAACCTATGGCTTTCTTTTTGTTCTGCATACAACTTTAACAATGAAAATGATTAAATAATAAATATTTAAATAAATATAAATAATAAAAGAATAAATGATTCCATCCTGTCCCTTTACATGCTTTATATGAGTTCTATGGGACTTAAGGTCACTTTCTGGCTCCCAAGTCTGAGTGCGTACCCTGCTGTGTCCCACCTTAAGTCAGGACAGAAATTAGGCACATCCCATTCCCACAGTCCCTATGCTGTGTTTCCAACTGCTTCCAAAAAAGAAAAAAAAAAGAGCATTCTTGAATCTCAGGTATATGATGAATCCATCTGTGCTCATTAACAAGTGAGATTTTATTGGTTTTGCTCATGCTTCTAGGGTAACTCTACCAGTTAGCTAGTGGTCTGCAGTTCTCTTCTTGCCTTTACAATACAGGAAGTGAAACTGTTATCAAAATTAATACTTCCAAGAACCAAAATTGAGCATGTGAGCAAACATGTAACTGCAGTGAATGATGTATGCATAAGTTTTGGCTTCACAATCCATCTAAAATCTACTCTGTATCAATAAAAGTCAGTTTGTAATTTTTAAATTTGCTCTGCAGCCATCCGGTAGAGAGATGTACTTACTTGTTAAATACAATGAAAGGTGTGATTTGGGAAATACATAGGTTGCTCAATAGAAGTACAATATATAGTACAGATTAGCAGGAAGTGAGAATCACAATTCCGAGCTTCAAAATAGACAAAATTATGAACAGCTAATTATTTTGTTACTAACCACATCGTCCAAGCTATACTTTGACAGATAAGATCCTGAACTTTGAGAGGTGGCTCTCCTGTGTTTGCAGGGACACGTGAAGGTAATCAAGTACATACTGACACATATTTTGGCTATATTTTAAAAGTAACAATAACAAGACAGTCGATAAACCTTTGGAAAGTTATTCTTACTATTTAAATGTAGTTTTTCACTCTTGTCAATTAATCTATGTATATTTCTGTGCTGACTCGGCAATACAGCTCTGGCTGTGGCTCTCTGGAAATCTTGGTGCCTTGCTCCTCAGTGTGAGGTAGGTGTATCCACCATCACCTACATAGATCCTGGCAGGAAGAAGGAGCTCCTCACTGAACAAAACGTGAGATTTCCTGAAATGGAAATCTGAAAGTGAAATATCTCTATCAACATCAGCGGCTTACTTGCTTATTTGGGTGCCTGGATTGGACAAAACATTCAAGTGGGACCCATTTGCTACTAAGTGTCACAGGGGAAGAAAACCATCAAGAAAGAACCTGCAGGTAAAGAACAGGACAACCCAGATGAGGACACAAATAGTGATGGGCTGATAAGGCAGCACTCTATAAACCACCCAGGAATTTAGTAAAGGTGAACATCACAAAAATAAATAATCACGAAACTTCTATTTACCTCCATAAAGACCATTTCCTCCCCTTTATCATTCTGCAGATCAAGGGTAATTCCCCACGCTTTGCAGAAAGCACTTAGTAATTCTGAAGGCCACAGAGCCCAGCGTAACACAGAACTGTATTTTCCCTGTCAGAGAAAAGGGGGAGATGCTGAGGTACCTGTAAAAGAAAGGGAAACTTGGGCATGTCCTCTGTGGTGAAGTGGGAAGAAAAATAAATGCATGTCAACCTCCTCAGGGCCCCCCCAGTCCTGTGACGCGTGGAAAGGCTGGTGTGGTCACAGAGCTGCCAGTTTTATCCCGTGATGTGCAGAGATGCCCCACAGAGTCTCGCTCGCCGGTGAGGGCAGTGGGGCATCTGCGGGGCTTCGTGGCTGCGACACAACGGGGCCGGCATGTCCTGGCCCTACGGAACGGGCTATGAGAGGAGTTTCCCTATGAAAAGGCCAGGCCGCGTCGCCCACCACCTCCCATGGCGCCCACAGGCACCCACCAGCTGAGCGCGTGCACGTCTCCTTGAGCGTCTTGTGAGTTGTTCCTCAGCCTGCAAAGAGCAACAGTAACGTGACTCAGGGGAGACCTTTTATTTTAGGATGAAAAACGATAAAAATGATGAACCCAACACCCCTGCCGGAGGCGGGCCCGCAGGGTCCCCAGGACAGTCCC